TCCAAGAATGAACATTCTTGCTAGTACAATCATCGAATACCCTTAGGGCATCTTCGATGGAGCCACAAGAAGTGTACATATGAGCAAGTTTGGTACGTAAAAACTCATTGTTTTCGAGCCCGTTTGTTCGAATATGAGCGTGGATTTGCCTCCCATCGGGTAAGGATTTGGAACGAACGCAAGCGGCAAGAAGAGAAGAGAAAGTGGTGGGATTTACAGGGATGCCCTGCTGGTCTACGTAGTCTAAAATGGCAAGGGCTTCTTTGAGCTTGTTTTGTCTAGCGAATCTTTGGATGTCTCTGTAAATGGCATGTGGGTTCTTGGTGTGGAGTGGTAACGAGGATGGGAATGCGTTTTTCTCAAAGAATGGTGGTGGGTTTCTTCTGTGGGCAATCTTGATTGGGTTTTTTTGGGGTTTCGGTGGGGATCTTGCGGAGGCTTTTATTCTGGAGAAATGATTGTTCCTGTAGAAGAGAGGATTTGGAGGGGAAGAGTGAAGACAGAAGGAAAGGGAAGATAACTGGTTGCATTCCATGGCTTCTTTTTTAAATGAAGATTGATGGAGGAGAAGGCCAAAGATTCAACCGGACTGCAACTTCAATTGTGCCTTTGCTCAAGCATGGTTTGTTCGTGGCAATAAGTAGGAAGGAGGAAGGGAAATCATTCCAAATAAAAAAAATCGACCCAAGTTCAATTATAATAATTTTCAAAGCATTTGATTTTACTTAATTATTAAAACTATATATTTCACTTTCCTTTAATTTTTTTGATTTTTAAAAATAAAAAGTGAACCTTAATTTTGATGAACTAATATATTTAATTTAATCATTAATAAAATTAAATACATTTGAATTTAAAAAAAAAATCAAATATATTTGAATTTTAAAAAAGAAGTCAAATATATTTGAATTCATAGTTCGAAGAGAAACAGGAAACTTGTTGAGAAACCTATATATATTAGATTTCACATTACTCAAGTCAAAGTTCAAAGGCTGAAGAGAGAGAAACAGGAAATTTTGTTCTTCTCACACTCAATGACCAAACAGCTTGAACTTGATCACTCTTTCCATCAATCAACCATGACAGAGCTTCTACTCTCTCCAACCCATGACGAACTCGACCATGTCTACCTCTATTTCGATCATTCAACCTCGACATATGTTCCACCTGGTTTTCGCTTTGCTCCAACCGATGACCAGCTCATTCTCCATTACCTCTCCAACAAGGTCAAAGGAGAGCTTTTACCTTCTGAAGCCGTCACTGACTGCGAAATCTACGGCCACCAAGACAAGGAGCCCTGGAAGATTTTTAGCATGACCTCACCCAGAAAGTTCTACGTTTTCACTAAGCTTAAGAACAAGGGTAAGGGAAAAAGGATTGAACGTACGGCTGGTCGTGGGACTTGGAAAGGACAAAGAACCGATCCAGTAAAGGATTCTGACGGTAATCATATAGGGTTCAAGAAGCTTTTTGTGTTTGAAGGACGGTGCCAAACAATGTCAATGACATTGGCTCATGCACGAGTATCTCTTCTAACCCAAGTAAGTTTCCTACCTATCTTATCACCTCCATTGCATGCTTTTGTATGATGATGACCATATTTATGCAAACCCCAACAGTACTGTTAACCATTTATATTTCTTTCTCTTGTAGAGTGATTATGTCCTTTGCGCAATCAGAAACAAAAAGCCACTGAATCCACTGCTGAACAAGTTGGATATGATATGTTGAAGGAAATGAAGCCATGAAGAGGAGCCTGAAGAATGCATTGGGCAAGACCAAACTCTGATGAGTGAGCAGGCTCAAGCCACCAATACTTGCATAAATAACCAACACACCAACACTCAGGAGTTGAGAAAAAGAGCTCTTGAAACTGAAGAAGATGAGACACAACAGAAGAGGATGAGGTTCAGCAAGTCAGTCCAAGACAAGCAAACTTGTTTCACGAGAGCAGCAATACCAGTATCTACTTTAGCATCAGACAAATCACAGGGTGAGGAAGGAATGACAGCTGAAAAACTTGAACAAGAATGGGTGCTCGAAGGCTTTGAAGACCAAAATTTGGATGAGCTGCTGGAGGCCACCAATGCTCAAGAATACCAGCAACAAGGAGAAATGATGAGATTTAGCGACAACTGTGTGATGGAAGACATGTACAAGCCGTATTCTTTCACTGCAGCGGCAGAACCAGCATTGGGCTTTGATTCAGAATTCTCTTATTCTAATCCTCAACCTTGCACCTTACTTGACCATTGCCCTCCCTCTTTACCAGACAGCAGCATGGCCAACTAGTCTGCTTGAGCTCGTGGGCTAAGTGTAGCATATTTTCCAAAGCATAAGGTGGAAGGCAAAGCCTTGCTCAAGATTAAATTAATGATGTAACTCTTCTTTGATTATATATATATATATATATGTATATGGTTTGTCATTCATTCTCAGGTTCTAGTCCCTTTTTTTGATTAATAAAATTGCTTCCAAATTTCGGTAAACTATATATATATATATATATATATAAATTATTCGAGACTCAACTCAATAATTATTAATTTATTTAAATATATAAGTGATTCATATTACAGAGTGAATACAGCAAACAGACAAATGTACATCTTTGCTGTGACAAGCTTCTGCATACATGTTGCTTTTTTGCCAATTTCTTGCTCTCATGGAGTTTTACACAAGAGAAACTAACCATGTTCGAAAAGCTCAATAGAGAGACCTACTCCTCCACAATGGAAAAAGGGTTTCCCCTGATAGAGAAGCAAATGAAAGCATAATTAGTAATCAATCTTTAGCTTTCTATTGGTTTATCCTCATTCATAGCTAATAATTAGACAATCAGCATTAATCCAATATATTAGGATTCTTACCAGCCACCATGGCTTGAGAAGTACTCATTATCCAATGAAATAGCAAGAGCAACAGTAACAGCTCGCTCTGATAGAGTCAGTGGACAGGTGAATTGCAATCTCTAATACAGTAATTCACACCATGCTAGCAGGGCCAGCCTTTGAGATGGGATCAGAGCACTCCCAAAGCGGATAACATACTTACCAGCATCAGTGAAACTAACAAATTTTATTTTCCGTAACTAACTGAAACTTAGCTAGAAAACAATAGTGTAGGTTAGCATAAACCTGTCCATGACATATCAAACTGTAGCCTCACACATCTGAATTTTGCAACAAGAAATTAGAACCTATAATGATGATATAGACCCAATCCCAGCCAAAATATTGCCACACTCTATTGCCTTAATTTTCCAAAAACTAAGTAATTCTAATCGATATGAAATTTTCTTCTTTTCTTCCTTCCATTGAACGTTTTCAGGCCCCATTCACCATTTGCATAAACCACACTATTAATTTCTAAAATGGGGAAAGCAAGTTGAACCAAACAGCATCCAAGCTGGCTAGGGTTATTAACACAACTCACAACCTCCCCTTGTCTCGCTTCAGAAACCAGATC